TATCTATCTATCTATCTATCTATCTATCTATCTATCTATCTATCTATCATCTCTCTCTCTTATCTATCAATCATCTATCTCTATCTATCTCTATCTATCTATCCGTCCAGCCATCCGTCCATCCATCCATCTCTATCCATCCATCCATCCATCCATCCATCCATCCATCCATCCATCCATCTACCTATCCATCTATCTAACACACACACACACAGCATTTATCTGGTTGGTTGGGCTTATGTTCACTGCATTTTTTATATCTTCATCTTCATTCACATAAATAAAAAGGAATATCCATCCATCTGGTTGGCTGGCTTACGTTGACTACTTTTTCATATGTTCATATTCATCATATCCATCACTTCACCCCTCCAGCTCCCTATTTATCCACCTATTCATCAATATATTCATCCACCATTTACATCCATCCATCTGCCACCTCCTTTATCAACCTCTCTACCGAGGATGTCAACCAACTTCAGATAACGTCCTAAAGCACAGGCGAAGAAGAAGAACCAACAATGATAAACCATCTTCACAAGCCCATTGACAGGTTTGGAGGTGTAAATAATTCCACTATCCCAAACACATTCAGCATCGTCCTAGTTGCTCAGAAAACCGAACGGAGCCACTCTTACTATATCAAGTCTCTGTACTGAAGATGTTTCTTTCATTTTTAAAAAGGGCCTCTTCCCCTTCTGGATTATCTCTGCTGAAAGTCCTAAAGATGTCAAATCATGATAGAAACCATGATAACAAGCCTATGGCTATGGTGATATAATCATACTTAAAGCTAAATGCATCCCATTGCTCAGAGATGACATTTCCTAATATAACACAGAGAAACATGAACTTGTTCTTGCCTGCTGTTAATGCCTTTCAATGCATTACCAAAGGTGAGGTGCTTCTTGGAACTGTGTGGGCATGTGGGTGTGCGTGCATGCTGGAGAAAATCCCAAGCTCCATTTCTCAGACAAAAGGGGGAAGGAAGGAAGGAAGGAAGGAAGGAAGGAAGGAAGGAAGGAAGGAAGGAAGGA